ACCCTCTGCCAACAAGAACTCCGCTCTCTAACGTAACCCAGAATATCAATACGAAACAAAACTCATCCCAGCACACTCGAAAGAATACACTAACATCCACCGGACACAACTCTAACACCTCGCCGTCTCGAGAAGACGCGCACTAAACACATAGCAAACCCATGAACACACACAGCCAAAACCAAATGTCCATTCCCATCCACCCACTCACTCCACGCTAACTCCCCACACCACAACTGCATCATCCACCCCTCTAACACCTTACTCACTACACTCCACAACGACACATCCTCACAACTTTCTCTAACCACAACTTGCAAACGACAATACTCTCTAAATCTATCCCGCCTTCGCCCCTCCACACCAATGATTCACCCCACACACTAACACACGTGCACCCCCCCCCCCCACACCCCCCCCCCCCCCCCCCCAACGAGACGAAGAATCTACCTCAGAACAGCCCCCTCCTGGCAAATTACAAGTTCTGTAAATCGCACACCCCTCTCCCCCCCCCAATCTACTCTGAAACACACAATATTGCAGCGACGTTAGCCCCTGCTTACTGCTTGCACCTACTCCTCTCGAGTGACCAAATACGACCGTGATGGCAGATATTACCCGTACTGACTGTCGACGCCTGAATGTGAGTAACAAGTCGACTGCTCATCATGCAGCATCTTCTCTACGAAGATACACGCAGAGCATTACGGTCCGCGAAAATCTCGCACAATAGCAATCTACCCCTGCACTAATCATCAGTAAATAGCCCAAAGACGCTTGTGAAAAAGCACTCGTTTAAGATCTCACGGTATTTCTTGGAAAGCTATGAAAATCGTGACCTCATCCGAAACTACTCTTTTTTGAGAAGATAAATGCCAAATGGAGACAGCTCCCGAGTTAGTTTGTATTACAACATTTCTTCTCTGACAATAATTTATTTGTAAAACGACGTTAAACCTCACAAAAATTCTTCAAGTGGCTCTCTCACACTCAAAACTATTATTATACTTAGACGGATACGTCGTACAAAAAATGCGTCGCTTGATAACCTAGATGATCCTTCATTTTTTTTTAAAGAGCTTACCCACATTTATTCTTACTCCGAGTGACTACTTCGAAAATACCTGCCTGGAAAGGATCAAAACATAAGAAAAGCTATAGCTTAAATTTTTCAAATGAGTCAAATTTTAACGAAGGAACCTCGTGAAGTCAAGCAACAACAGGCCTAAAACTCTCGAACTAATCTTTTAAACCATAAACTATCGAAGTCGAGGATTAGCTCAAATTTACGCGGGGGTGAAGTGAGGCTCAAGGGGGGGAAGGACAGCCAAAAGTTAAATACACCGAAAATACGAAACTTTGCTGTAGCGTGTATGCTGTGGAGAATTCTAATTGTGTGGTGAGTCCCAAAATTGGACTGATCAACGCCGAATGCTTTATCTTTTTTCCTTTAACGGATTCCAAATTGGATAGTACGCTAAGGTTATCTAAACCATACGTGGTAGGAAATCAAACCTGGTATGACCCACAATGCCGAAGGAAGTTTTCGGGTTACTTCTCAGTTGGAAGCGGGTCACGACGTTTTCGACGGAAGGGGGTATCGAGTTCAATCTGCTGGGAGAGAATCGTAAGTGCTGAGGGAACTTTGAGCAAAAATGTGTTGTGCGTTTGTTCATTCGCATACACAAGTTTTTCCACGGAAATACATATTACCATTCGAATGAGTCCACTAATCTGAATTTATGTTGAGGGTAAGGCGCGTTCCTGAACGAGCTCGATCAGATGCGTTCGTTTCAACCTCCATCCCTCGCAGATGTAATTTCAGTTCTAGATTCGAGATGATTCCGAAAGCGGCTCTGTGAATGCGAGGAGGGAATCCACTACTTAAGGAGAAATGCAAAATTTAGCTCAAGCCCGGCTTGAAATTATGAATGAAACATCCATAGTATAGAAACCAGAGCTGGCTCCGCACCTTTGCTGTTAATCACAAGTGCTATTCATCGCTGCGAACAAAAACAATAACACCTGTCTAGGCAGGGTCAACCGTCCGTTGAACAAAGTCCAGGGGGAGGGGTCGTATTTGGCTGACGGGAGAGGGGGTCGTATTCGCAAAGGTCAACGTCAATACGTAGATGAGAGGCATAACTTTCAAGTGCTTCTCCAACTATTAACCACAAACGAGTGCATGGCGCACCTCAGAGCAGAAGAGTCTACTGCAGAAGTGTCCATATTTGACTGTTCACGTACACAAATATGCTCTCGAGGAGAACCAATGTCTTCAAACTGGACCTAAGTTAGTAAAAAAAAGTGACCACTAGGGTAGATTGACTACTAAGGGCTTACAAGAAAACTTGGAAAAAATATTCAACTGTCTACAACTTCCTGAAAAGGTTTCAGTATCCATCATGAAGCACAAAGCTTGTGCGATGTCATGGTATCATTATCCTCATAAAATTGAGTTTGAAGAGAGCTGTAAGTGTTTGAGTGTTGAAAACTCGTGTTTTCAGAAGAGTTGCTCCGAAAATTCATGAAAAATTGTCCAACGGGGCGATTTTTTTTTGAACGATTCATTTTGGGAACGAAATAAAGTATTCATAGGAAGCACTAAGCTTCTTATCTCTGATAAGAGAAAAGAATTGCAAAAGGTTCATTCTGAAGAAAGTTATAGTCATTGAAAGCCAAAAAACCTGGTTCTGAAAAAAAAACGGTCCAACGGGGCGATTTTTTGAAGAAAAGAGTTTTGCAAAAGTTTGAGCACTTTTTAGAAAGAAACAATCTGGTGTTTCAAAATTTTCTTACCACTTCTCACATTTCCTTATTTGAAGAAAATTCCAACCTTTCAAAGGAAGAAGTGCGCATTTCTGTGAATTCCGGTTTCTCTACCCCATAACTAACACAGTTTGAAGAAACTGCAAAAAGTGGTTGTTTTCTGAAACTAGCAGTCTCGTAGATTACAAATCCACTTTGCGTTTTGAAAAATATTGACGCTGAACAGAATTACACTCTTTTGAAAATTAGTAGTCCGCCTCGGTCTATCCGCGCTGGGTCGAGGGGAAGATTGTGCGCGCCAATGCGAAACGCAACGCTCCGTGCTCAATCGATTCCCCGGCGGGAAACTTCTACTTATTTCCAAGTTCTGGGCCCTATTCCACTATCACTGCTCCAAAATCTCAAAATTTTATTTTTCCTATGAGTTTTTCCCATAAAATTTTGCCTATAAGAGTAATTCGATGTCCTTATTACGAATATGACCTTCACTTTCGATGATTTACGAATATGGCATTCATTTTTGATGCTGGCGCCATTTGGCGCCACTTGGCGCCACCTTGTCACGACGGCTGTTTTCACGAAATTCGGTGTAAACTTGTACATAGGGGTTATTTTGGTGTCCTGATTACGAATATGCAACATTTTTTTGGAATTGGCTGGCGCCGTTTCCGCCGCCATTTCTTGCTCGTCTGGGTGAATGCAATTTGGGAAAACCAGGAGTACAGGAGCGGCTGAAGAAGGTCGACGGAGGAGTACGTTGGAGAGTCATCCTCCAAAAGAGGATCGTAATGAACGAAAAGATTACGTTTGTTCTGGTAAACTTTCCGGAGAACCAAGAAAACCAACTCGTTCAAGTTCCTGCAGTATATTTGTCTTGAATGTTGGTCGTGAACGCTCCTTCTTCTTCGCTTTTGTAATATCCGTTTTCAGCAAATCTTTTCGACCTTTTAGCCTATGAAAATGACATCGAACTCTTTTATTGTACCCTAATCCATCGAGTGTTTTTCCTGTACCCCCCAAGTGGAACGCTTAAAGCGCGTCAGCGGTATCACGATGGTGGGGGCGGGGCGGGGTATGATGAAGATTCAGGGAGCGTCACGTTGATGGAATAGCACTTGCCGCTTCGCGGCGAGTGTGATTGGAGACCGCTCTTGTCGTCGTTCCGTCGCAGATGACGATCAACGTCGTCATCCAAACTGCAGCGCTCTCCAGTCATCGTGTTCCAGCTCAGCCACTGGCTTTTATTAAATTCCACCGATGCGACGCCTATGGCCCTTCACATTACTTATACCGTTCCACTGACTCCGTCCACAGGTAAAAAGCGCCTGCAGTAGGTGATGGTGAGGTGTAGGAAGGTTATAGGATACAAGCTCAAAGTGGAACACCTTAACAAAAAGACAATCGAACAATAGGTGCTGCTGGCAACACACTGGTGGGCGGGCACAGCTGGAGGCGGAGCTCAGAATGGATTGGCTGCTCCAAGTCGCCCCCTCCAACTTAACGCGCCTTGCCAAACAAGCTAACATCCCGCTTCCCACCGCCCTCTGACTGCTAGCGCTCACTAGTGTGACTTTCCGCACACCGCTGTCGTAATGCTCTGCTTTTTAGTTAAGGCTCTTTTATCATCTCTAACGCATTTGTCCCTGTATGTATCCACATGTATGTGCCCTCCCTTCAAAAATGAGAAGGTCGGGTGCAGACCATACACCACAAGTGACGACGGCCTCCACAAAATGTAATGTTTTCTGCCAATGAAATGATTAGCCTGTTGCAGTTGTATTCTAGTTGTCACTAATTACAACTATCATTTACCAAAATCAGCTATCACTATGAACCACTACTAACCAGATTTACTTGGAGGCCGTCGTCACTTGTGGTGTATGGTCTGCAACCGACCGCTTTTCTCGTCTTTTTGAAATGGAGGGTACCCTTTGTCAGCGGTCCCTCAATTACCCACTAATCTCAGAAGATTTCACTCTCTAATGGAGGCGATTAAATGCTCGTATTACGTGCACGAGCTTTTACCTGCTCACTGCTGGGCACGATCACTGGACAATTTAGGATAATTTATTATCGAAAAAACACGCAAGTCAACAAAAGTGACTGCCCATCCTCGGAGCAAAACAACAAAATACCAGCAAAACATTTCTAGGTAAGGCAATAATGTGAGGAGATCCCGTATTAATGAATGAAAGGTAGGTTTATGATATAAGTATCAAGGTTGTTTGATGTCACTTCCGATAATTCTTGTAAACCTCAGCCATTTGAGATTTTGACCATTTTCCATTCTTCTTCACGTTGTACTGCGAACTGCTCCACGAGAACTTGTTGGTGGGATGATCGAGATGCCATTTTGGGCCATATTCAAACTGAATCAAGAAATTGAGCGGTCAAAGTATACAGTTTCTCTTCGCAATTATTGTATGAGTTCGATACGACACAAAATGGTAAGGGAGGAATCTTTGCTGGTGAATCACATCTTTTCTTTGAGCCAAACTATCCAAATGGACTACCATGAACACGACCATCCCGATTACAGGAAAAAGGTGGCGAACCGCAGTAAGTGTAATAGCTAGGCGGATGCAAAGTGGAACGGTGCGATTGCGAAGGAGGAATATGGGAGAAGGAGAGATATGCAGACTGCGAAAGGACGGCAGCCCGAAGGAGGTGAGGGGGGACATGCTTCGCTGCGAAGGGCGCCCTCATCGCCGCCTAGCCAACATCATCTATGGCCAGCGCCACCTGCCATGGCAATGCCTGCCTCCTTTGTTGTACTTTGTTCTTCATTTCAAGGTGTTCCCTGTGAAAGGCCTGTAGCATTGCTCTCAGCTTTTCAGGTCATGCGTGGGTAAATGAATTGTCAAATAAACCGCTCCATTACCACAGAAAAAACGATACCCTTAGGCCCCTATTGGTGTTGTGTGATGTTGATTGAGTGCTAGATAGAAGTGCAGGCGAACATAAGCCGTGAAGTATCGATGATACTTAATCATCGCCACACAGGAGCTAATAAAGATCACTCTTTCCGTGGAAGATTCCTTTAAGGTATCGTTTTGTTGTTGTGATTTCCGCGGAAGATTCCTTCAAGAATGAAAGCATGATATTTGTTGGCATAGCAGCCATCGGAATCATCACGTGCAAACGAGTCTTGGTCACTGCCTCAGTTCAACGGCTCAGAATCAACGGCGAAGGTCCAATCTGTGTCATTAAGTCGGTATCCCTGTGTGCTTTTCTTGGCCAGTGAACCGGTACCCATGGATTGCGAGCTCTAAACGAGCAACAATTTTCTGTACCAATGTCGGTTGGCGGTATACGCTGCGTCTCCAAAATGATACAACCACCCCGTGCTCTTTGTTGAATTGCATTTCTGATATCAATGCGGAAACTGATTGTCAGCTACTAATTGAGCGCCAGGTGGTCACATCGCGCGAAAATTTCGTCGAGCTACGGAATGATTAGCAATTTCTTTTTGAATCCTGTAGAAAATGGAACTCAGAAGGGCTCCGGACGTTATTCTTTGCTTTTTGATTAAGATAAATGCGACATTATGAGAACAGCAGGTTCGGAAATTGAGTGTTGTGTTTTACTTATCTTATCTGCTTTACCTTTGACTTTCTCCTCGCTATTAAAAGCATTACTCCAGGACGGAACCATCTCGAGCGAAACGCGTTAAAAGAGTGGCAGAAAAGAAGTAAAACACAACAGGCCGAAAATGGATCCTGCTCCGGTTGGCTTGGTCGGAATTCCCCTGCAAAAATGACTCGGTTTTCGCGACGGTTTCTTTTCAAAATCACCGTCCTTTTCATATTCAGCTTGAGAACGATCTTGGAAGTTGTTTATTGCATTCCCAGCACTATCCAGTAGGAGATTAAGTTCTAAAGAAGACTCAATTTCCGAACCCGCCTTGGTGAAATTTGGTGCTGTTCTCATAATGTTGCATTTATCTTAATCAAAAAGCGAAGAATAACGTCCGGAGCCCTTCTAAGTTCCATTTTCTACAGGATTCAAAAAGAAATTGCTAATCATTCCGTAGCTCGACGAAATTTTCGCGCGATGTGACCACCTGGCGCTTAATTTTTCTTATTTTGTGACGATTTCCCCTTTTTCAAAGTCCAATAGTTGCTTTCCTTTCCTGATAACCTAAGAAAGAACAATTGAGTACTGCCAATCAGTTTCATTGATCAGAAATGAAATGCAACGAAGAAACACGGGGTGGCTGTATCATTTGGAGACGATGGAAAAGCGACGCTTTTTGGAAAAATTGGAATAAAATTTTTTTCGCATTTTCAACCTGGAATTTTGTATTGATTTTCGAATTCGCGACCAAATTTGACACAGTTTTCCTGTTGGACATTTTTCCATAAACTTTGTGGAATTCGAGATTTTGAACAATTTCTAGGTGGCTGTATAATTAGGAGACGCAGTGTATTGAGGGGTAAATTCAAGCTTAGTTCGTTTTGAAATTTTTGTAACTACTGCGGTTCGCATGCATGACGTGCTGTCGTTTCCTTTCCAAATAGAAATTTTTACTATGCAATTCCACGCTCATGAAGAATCTCGCATACCATCCGTATGTTTTTTTCCACATTCGTTGTGCTCGTTACATTAGGTTCATTTTCAGGCCTGCAAAATGGGAAGTCCAATCCATGAAAATAAGCGACGACTATGTAGAACTCTATTTTCTCTAGAAGAAATCGGTCAATTACGTACCCTTCACGTAACACCTTGAAACATTCCGCTATTTGGTTATCCAAAAAGCCGTGCCGCGTTTCTTCTTGAATTCGATTGTTGTAGTTTACTGCTAAGTCGTGGTTTTTGCGACAGAGAGGCTTTTTCTCTAGTAGCCCTATACTTTACATCTTGTTATATATCTTTCTGAAGCTTCTTCTCTACTCTATTCGCAAGTATGTTTAGCTCTCATTTTTCTTATCATTTGGCCGCATTTTTGGCCCGCGTCTTAAGGTGTCCAGTTCAGGAGAATTCTACTTTGTTCAACTGATCAAATGAGGCATGCACTTCAAACCTTTTGTTAATGAGACATCTGAAACGTGTCACCAGTTTCAGCGTAAACTTATTTAACGGCGGTTAAACTTTTCAAGTCTAGGTTGGAGAGAATGTTAACCATCGAGCTCTCACAGAAAAGCAATTTCTAAAGAGTACAACAACAACACGACTTCTTGGACAATCCAACCGTCAACGTTAACAAAAGGGAATACATCACTGACGAAATTCTCTCTGTAGAAGACCGAGCCAAAGTTGTAAATTTGGAGACTTCTAATCTGCTGGAGCACCTATTCAGTAGGCTCGTTTTAGATTTCATTGGCTTACGAATTTCTCATGAGTCTTGCCAGGCAAGGCGAGGAGGCCGACTCAAGGCGAGGAAGAGGCGTGGCCCACCCCGCTCCCGTCTAGGAGTAGTCTGACCACTGTACGGTGCCCATGAGAATGGTTCTCAGAAAGGATGGGTGCCTAATACGTGCGGCCAGCGAGCCTGGACTACCCTTTAGGTGGCCAAGGGACACCGGAAGCGATGGTGAGTTATTGGTATTTGATATATATATGGAATATGGCTCTTTTCCTAATTGTATCTACTATGATACCATGGAGTTTCTGGTGCTGTCACGTGTAGGTATAACGGGGAGCCGTGGTGGCTCATGTAGGGCTTCTGTGCGTGGTGCCAGCGCTATGATCCCCGTGGTCCCCGCGGGAATAGGTCCGTCGCATCTCGTGAGGGCTCTTGGCTCCAAAATGTCCCAAAGCGTGCGATTGAGCGCTCGTACACCGGTGGTGTCGCTACGTGCTGTCCGCAACATGCAGAGTGGCGATATTACGAAGGTGAGCAAACCGTGACTGTGTAACTACAGTTGAGGTAGCGACAATTATGAAGGCTCATTCAGCGTTAACGTAATAATTACGTTGTACCTGAAAGAAGCGTTTCGTCTTTTAGTACTATCATATTCACTACGAAAGGGATGCGTTTGAGAGAATGAATGGGCTTTCTAGAAAAACGTCCATAATTCTTTGAAGTTAAAGCATGATTCAACGATAAGAACACAGGCCGAAGAAGGCAAAACTTATCTAGTGGTGAGACAGGCGGACTCCTAAATGTGCGGATCAAACGCAATTCACATCGAATGATATGCCTCCGGAATCTAACATGGCCTTTCCTTTGCGCAGTTGGCCCGGAACGCCCACCGACTATCTAATCGCTCGCCATAGGCTATACGCGGCGAGTGATTAGATAGCAGAGAGAGCGTTAGCGTTGAAGAGGGCACAATAATGATAGTCGTATGGTGCGGAAGCCAACATGCAAGCAAGGAGTCCCGTTTCTTCCGGGGTTCCGGGCCGTTTTACAAGGTTTCGTCTCCCTGCTTCACTTGCCACCTCTACCCTTATTTCCATTAGGCTACCTTTTCATCATAAAACTCACCTTTAAGGTGCATAACTATAGAATACTGGATAAATTTAAGCAGTCACCTCTAAAACTTTCTTCGGATTACAAGTCATCCAAAAGATGTGTCCAAGGAGATCACCAGCACACGTATGATTGTACCTGAAGCATATTAAATGTATTCCATGAAAAGTGGCATCCCCACCGCTGTTAGCTATACATTTTCGAGTGGGGCTCTGGGCGAATTCTGTATGACACTATGAGCAAAGCTCATTATTGACGACTTGATCTACTTATTGCAGACCTGATTGAGAGCGACGTGTTAGAGCGCTGAAAAATGGAATACAGTATGTCACTAGGGTCTGGTGGGAAAATGGTGACAAGTGGGTGACCGTGTTCCAACAAAACGTAGCTCGCTCTCAAACCCCCTCAACATAAAGGCTAAGATCGCTGCCTCCACGACAGGACAAGACGCGTCATGGAGCGACAAATTCCGCATAGTTATTTTGTAGTTTTTAACACATTGACGACATTGAGACGCGGTAACGCGTCTCACTTTGCGCACCTCGTTGGACATTGAGACGCGTTACCGCGTCTCACCCTTATCATCCCTTTTTCTAGGGCATGCGCAGCTTTTTCCCGAATTGTTTGTCTCTCTTCTATGGATTAGAACATAACATTATTGTGAACGACATAGGTCATTGTTTGTTCAAATATGCTCCAGTTTAGAAGAAGTTTTCCAAGCTCACCGAAACCGGCGGCTTGGTTCATTAATAGTTTTCATGCTATTCTCTATTTATAAAGCGTTAACTTTGTGTGTCGGTTTGTATGTATGTATGTGTATGTATGTATGTATGTATGTATGTATGTATGTATGTATGTATGTATGTATGTATGTATGTATGTATGTATGTATGTATGTATGTATGTATGTATGTATGTATGTATGTATGTATGTGTGTCCGTCCGCAAAATGAAGTGAGTGAGAAGGAAGCTCATGGGATAAACAAACCGCTAACAAATCGGGTAGCTTACAGGATTTGAGATATCAATGTTTTGTAGCAGGATAGTTGTGATAACACTCTTAGGGCTATATAAACACCTGCTTAGCACACTTCCGTTCATTCCACATGGTGCTGCAGTGGCAGCTGGAGGGCAGTGGAGAGAGGAAGGGAGGATGAGGAAGGGAAGCGAAAAATCTACCGTCATATCATGATTGTACGAAACACCATTGTGTTGCATACGCGTCACTTCCAGGAGGTGTTGGTGTCACAGGAGGAAGGGACCATAGCGGAGGATAGAAAGCTTGCGCAGGAAAGGAAGGTCCCGGCGGTTGACGGGGGACTAATCTGGTTCATAACACGTCAATAAAAAAGGGTAGTGAAAGTAAATGCAAATCTAAAGAGACAGAAAAATACATGTTTCACTTGGTATAACCACATCAAAAGAGCTTTTGGCATCCACTACAGATAAAATGACTAAAATTTCCTTTTTCATTACCATTACATGTTCTTTAATCGGAACTTCGTCACTATATACTCTATTACCTTCTACGCATTGACTGTTACTGAGATGTTTTTGTACCACTGGTGCTTTAAAAAGTTATCAATAAAAATTCACGGATCCGAGGTGCGGCGGTCGCACTCGCAAAATCGGCCCGGTCCCACACGGCCAAAAAAGCCAAAACGCGCGCGGTCGTCAATGTGTTAATCACGACATAGCCAGCTATGGGATACGAGACTTAGGTGGGCTGGGTCGAGGAGCAGATAGCAGTAATGGAAAGAATTGTTGGAAAAGCGATCAAACGACAAAACCATGCAGCGAAAATAAGGATAAGATGGACCCGTCTGTTACGATAAGAAAGAATCAAAAACGCTGCCCCCGATACTTAAGTTCACCTTCCCTGAAGACGCGACTCATCGTCTACAGCTTCTCACCTTTAGATACTTGCTTACGACCAACATAGTAATAATACCAGTGATAAGCCAGTGAAGTAACTTCTATTACATCAAAGCGTGCGTCTTATAGGCAAAGTTAGGGTTTTCTGGCAAAATTTGGGTATTCCCCGTCAAATATGCAGCAGTACACAAGGGCAGACCATGTACAGAAGTGACAGGGCGATTTGACGAGATTTGGGCGCTACGAGCCTAGGTTGTTAAAGCTTATGTTAAGACCATTATCGAGAATCTAGTCATTCATTCTAGTGACAATCAAATTTTTGAGATAGAAAAAAAAAACAAAAAAAAACACAGGTGAATAGAAAAAAGCGAAATTAGAAGCAATCCAGTTTCCATTGCTGACTTTTACAAGCCGTGTCTGTTGCTGTCATAAAGCCAAGGCATTAAACCGCACAAACAAATTGCTCCCGGTTGTGAAGGTGTTTCGTTTCTTCCCACTACTCTGCTTATTGCACTCATGGAGCATGTTTCAAATGGGCAGACAGACTGTCCCATCGACCAGCATTCCCACGGACATGTTACCAGACAATAAACTTCGAGTTTTTCGACAAAAAGACGAGTTGTACCTGACTCCAATTCGAGAGCATTACCTCGCACAATAACTCACCTTGGATAAGTGTATTTATATTTGGTGCCATCGCCTCCTGTGCCACCTACCCAGGATTCGTTCTGCGTGCTATACATCCAGAAAAGATCAATCATTGGGCGGCCACCATCCAATGGTCGAATTGTGAATTCATAAGTGTCATTAGGCTGAAATTATTAGCATTCATGGAAATCGTTAAAGGTCAGATTTTGACTGAAGCAGCAGCCGATTTGATATTTGAACACTAGGAAGTGCTCGAAGAACCCTAGCACAATACTTTTCTGCTCACAAGTTCTTCTCCATTACCTAGCCTTAAGTCTGTTGTGCTTGAGGATTGAAACGTAGCGAGCACGAAGGGTGGGACGCAGGAGATTTGAAGAGGTCACTGGACGGAGAGTGGCGGACGAGATCCCCGGGCGCGCTGGAGGTGTGGTTACTACCTCCCTCCCCACGTCTCTTCGCCAATGATGCTTAACGACGTCGTCAAGACCACCCTGCTTTAGCGATCGTGTCCAGTGCTTTTGACCTATATCCCGCTACATGCCCTAGCAAGAAGCAGTTAAGTCTCTTTGAATATCTGTTTTGTGGATGCTTTCGAAACCAGCTTTCTGCTCTTCTTTCATGGCCTACTAAAAAATGATAGCGTTCCTGCTTATAGATGGAAGAAATTTCTCCGTACAGCCTCGACAGCAAAAGGGAGCTATGTAAAATTTAGGCACATAATGTAATGTTGCTGTAGGAAACTCACTAGGCCTAATTTTCTTTTGAGAAGAAACTTCTTTCCGCCACGAAGATCTTTCAGAAGCTCTGGCTTGTATTGTTCTATTGGAGCAGCGAAGTCAGCATCCATTGTATGAGGGATAATGTTGCATTCCCTATACCAGCCTGCATTTGAACCGTTTCTTTGGAAAAAATGGGCAAAATTCACCGTATATGCACCTTACAATGATTATTGCTTTATTGAGCAATCGGGAGCAACTTTTTGTTATTTGTATATATTTCATCAGTATTATAGTAGTGCGAGTACGAAGTTATTTGGAAAGCTTTGGAT